GCAGTTTTTGGCCAAGGCTGGGTTTGAACCTGCCACCTCCGGCATATGGGGCCAGCACCCTACTCCTTTGAGCCACAGGCACTGCCCTATACATTTTTTAAAATGGAAAATAACAAGTGTTGACAAAAATATGGAGAAACTGGGACTCTCATACACTGCTAGAGGTAATATAAAATGCACACCATTATAAAAAATTTTGTTTCTTCCCCTATAATTTAAACATAGATTACCCTATGACCCCACAATTCCATTCCTGGGTTTATACTCAAAAGAATTAAAAACATGAATTCAAACAAAAACTTGTATACAAATGCTCATAGCTGCACAATAGCTAAAAATTGGAAACCCAAATGTCCATCAGCTGATGACGTGATAAGCAAAGTGAAGTGTGTCCACACGATGGGATATGATCCAGCTACAGAAAAGAGCGAAATGCTGATGCATGCTACAGCGTGAATGACCTTGAAAAGATGCTAAGGAAGCAGACACAAAAACCACATATCATATAATTCCATTTATGTGAAATATCTGAAATAGGGCTTGGTGCCTGTAGCTCAGTGGTTAGAGCACTGGCCACATACACTGGGGCTGGTGGGTTTGAACCCAGCCCAGGACCCCCTAAACAACAATGATAACTACAACTACAACAACAAAAATAGCCAGATGCTGTGGCAAGCACCTGTAGTCCCAGTTGCTTGGGAGGCTGAGGCAAGAGAATTGCTTAAGCCCAAGAGTTTGAGTTTTCTGTGAGAACAACATAGTGAGAGTCTGCCTCAAAAAAAAAAGAAAGAAAGAAAAGAAAAGAAATATCTGGAATAGGCAAAGCTACAGAGAAAGAAAGGAGACTGGTGGTTGCCCAAGATGGGGGAGGAGAGAACAAGGATTGACTACTTTAAAGCTACCTTTTGGGGGATAATGGAATGTTCTGGAACAAAAGGGTGGTTACAGTACAAAAAGCAAGTACACATTAAAATGATGAGTTTATTTTATGTGTATTTTACCACAAAAAAGAAAATAGTACAGCCACTTTGAAAAATAATCTAGCGATTCCTCAAAAGATTAAACATGCAGGCTTGGTGTCCATAGCACAGTGGTTAGAGCTCCAGCCACACACACCAAGGCTGGAAGGTTCTAACCTGGCCTGGGCCAGCTAAACAACAATGACAACCACAATAGAAAATAACTGGGCGTTGTGGTGGGCACCTGTAGTCCTAGCTACTTGGGAGGCTGAGGCAAGAGAATCACTTAAGCCCAAGAGTTTGAGGTTGCTGTGAGCTGTGATGCCATAGCACTCTACTGAGGGCAACATAGTGAGACTCTGTCTCAAAAAAAAAGATTAAACATGCAGTTACTATCCAAGCCAACAATTTTATATACCCATGGAAGTTGAGAATACATATCCACACAAAACTTACACACAAATGATCATGCAGCTTTATTCAAAATACCTAAAACAACCCAAACTTCCATCAGTTTATAAGTATACAAGTTGTAGTATATGCATACAATGGAATATTATGTGGCAATAAAAATTAGACTACAACATGGATGAATCTTGAAAACCCTATGCTAAGGAGAAAAGGGCTGTCACATGTTATGTGTTTGCATTCCAATGGAATGGAATCTATAGAAATATCCAAATCTACAGAGGCAGAAGTCGATTCGTGGTGGCCAGGGACTGGAGAAAAGAGGGAATAAGAAGTGATTGACAATATGTATGGGGTGTCTTTCGGGAGTAACAGAAAATATATAAAATTAAGTACAGTGATAGTTGTACAAATCTGTGAGTATTCTAAAGATCATTGAAATGACTGGATTGTATGGTGTGTGATTTATATCTTAACAAAGTTTTTATTTTTTTTTTTAACAAAGTTTTTTTTAATAAACTAACTTCATCTCATTCTCTTAGAGTTATCTAAATTATTAATCAGCCATATTTCTAGTCTGCTTGATACTCATGTTGAATACTTTTTCTTTCACCTTGATTCACTCTAGCATTTAGCCACTCTTTAGATAATTACTCATTAACAGAAACACTGAGGTCAAAATGTCCTCCATGTCTGGTAATCTCCAAGATAAGAGTCATAAAAGTAAATATGTGGTTTTGAAAGAGAGGCAGAACATTAACGTCACTGTAGACATAGTCATGCTTCTCTCTCTCTCCTTTTTTAAGAATGACTTGGCATTTTGGAGTTTTGTTTCCCTGACTTGCCTAGAATCAAACTTCAGCTCAACCAAGAAATGTTGTAATACCCAGCCTGAATAGGTATTACTCATAAAGACCCCTTCAGGCAGACAAAATGAACTTAGGGTGGGCAAAGGATCCTGCTGGGACCTTGCTGGGTAGTCACTGGTACCCATTTGGAATTGATTTAGATCAGAGTTTCTTAATATCAGCACTATTGATATTTTGAGCCAGACGGATTCTTTGTTGGGGGTGGGAAGGGTCGGATATTTTTTATGCACTGCACAACCTTATACAGCCTCCCTGGCCTCACTAGGTGACAATAACATCCCTCCAACTGTCCCCCAAACATGTCTTCAGACATGTCCACCCTGGGGAACAAAATAGACCCCATTTAAGAACCACTATTTAAACAATCCCAGAACACAAGAAGAGAAAATTGGGGAACAAAATAACTAGTCCTGAGAAACTAGGATCCAGTTTTCTAGGAAAACACTTTCCCTAAGAATGTCACAAGAAAACCATTGTTTTTCTCACCTGCAGAGAGAAAGTTTCAGCCTGTATTGAGTTAGGGTCTAAGGAAGAAAGGGCCATGGTTTCCCTTGGCAGTCTACAAAGCACTTTTCCATGCTTTCACATGTCCCCTTGGATCCTCCAGTCACCCTGTGAAGGGCAGAGCAGACATCACAGGCCTCATTTTTGGCTGAGGAAGCTCAGTCCAAGGCCATATGGGTGGGAGGAGACTGGTCAGACCTACCTCCTTGGAGGCCACATGAATGGGAGGAGGCTGGTCAGACCTACCTCCTTGGAGGCCACATGAATGGAAGGAAGTTGGTCAGACATACCTCCTCGGAGGCCACATGAATGGGAGGAAGCTGGTCAGACCTACTTCCTCAGTTCAGCTTCCTTCCTTCACTTCTTGTTGCTGCAACTTTCCAGGTCCCATATCATGGAAAAAGAAAAGTGCTGGGCACACACATGACATCACAGTGTAAAGGTAACAAGGGAGTGAGCTCTCCTCCTGCTTCTGCCTGCTGTGGCAGACTACGACCTCAGGAGTTCACTCAACATGCCCGGAAGCCAGAGTTTCCTCTTTCAAGTGAGAATCCTCTGGTGGCTCAGGCCTATAATCCCAGCACTCTGGGAGGCCAAGGCAGGTAGATCCCTTGAGCTCAGGAGTTCGAGACCAGCCTGAGCATAAGTAAGATCCCATCTCTAAAACTATTCAGGTGTTGTGGGCATCTGTAGTCCAAGCTACTCAGAGGCTGAGGCAAGAGAATTGCCTGAGCCCAAGAGTTTGAGGTTGCTATGAGCTATGACACCATGGCACTCTACCCAGGGTGACATAAAGTAGCACTGCCCCTTTGGTATTACATTTACAGTTTTAGGGTTTTCCCACGAACCTGATCTCACTATCCATGTCAATTTCCTGAGTGTTGCCATTTTATACATAGAGACGTGAACACTCAGAAGTCAGCCACCACTTGCCCACTCACACAGCTGGTTTCAAATCAAAGCCTTGTAACTTTTACCCTGTGCTCCTGTTCTACTGATATGCTGGCCACAAGGGAGGAATCCCTGGAGCCAGCAGGGGAGGCTTCTCATCCTACATGGGGCCAGAGCTCAGCTCTCATTCTGTTCCCTCCCACAGACCAGGCTGGATAGAGAAGTTGTGATCATCCCTGGAGCCAGGGCTCTGGCCATGATGTGACTCCAAGGCCTGAAAGCTGTCCCTTCAAAGGTTTGAGCAGTTCTTTGCATTGCAGTGGAAAAGGCTAGGATTTACCTCTGAATCCCTTTGTTCTAAGACAAACACTGCAAAGGCCCTTCTATTAGTGAAATGTGAAGCTAAACTCCCTCCTAAAGCAGAGATATTTGAAACCTGAGCCTCCCAATAGAAAAAGAGGTTAGCGTGAGATGGACAAGACTCAACCAAGTAGCCAAAAGGACAACGTGGAGATTAGCCTGGAAGCTGGCCTGGATCTGAGACCCTATAGGGAGAGCGTAAGGGCCTAAAAATAAAGGCTTTTTTTTTCGTGCAGCACCGTGTGAGATTCTGGGAAAGAAGTGAGGGCCAGAGAGGAAGACAGAAAGGCTGAAAGATGCCTGTGAGAATGTATTTGGGGGCAGGTGGCAAGATACGCAGGGCTGGAGAGGAGGCCTGGGCAGATGCTTCAACAAAGGCCATGTATGACAAACCCACAGCTAACATCACACTGAATGGGGTAAGACTGAAAGCCATTCATCTGAGATCTGGAAAAGGCAGGGATGTCTACTTTCATCACTTTTATTCAACATAGTACTGGAAGTCCTAGCCAAAGCAATTAGGCCACAGAAAGAAATAAAGGGCATCCAAATTGGAAAGGAATAAGTCAAATTAGTTTTGTTTGCAGGTAACATAATCGTATACTTAGAAAAACATAAAGACCACATACACACACACACACACACACACACACACTGTTATAACTGATAAATAAATTCAGGGAAGTTGCAGGAAACAAAATCAGCATACAAAAGAGAAAGATAGTTCATGCCCATGGATTGGAAGAATTTATGTTGTTAAAATGTCAATACCACCCAAAGAGATCTACAAGCTCAATGTAGTCATCTCTATCAAAATACCAATCACATTGTTCACAGAAACAGAAAAAAGCAATATAAAACCAGCACACTGTACCCCTTTATCATTTTTAACATTATAAAATTATAAACGTAAAATTATAAAAAAAAATCTTAGCTCTGGGTCATATAAAACAGACCTCAAAGAAAAAATAAAAACCAAAACACCCAGGCCTTTGGGAGGACTTGGCTCCCTGGCTATTGCTTGCTGACTCCTGGCTTAGGGTCCAAGGACAAACACAGGCAGAATTGGGAAAGTGGGTCCTGACCCGGACCTGTCCCATTGGTCAAACCTTCACCTCTTTGTGCTGAGACATTTCCAAGGCTTGTTCAATAATTCTGTGACTAACCCCAGATCACCCATCTGATCATGTTTCATCCTTACTAGGCATGAACCCTCTATTCACTCAAATGCCTCCATATCACTTCAACCTCAGGTCTCCTGAGGGGTCCCCCACTACTCAAAGCCCAGCCTGCTACTGTGGTTTCAGGCAGTCCCCCAGGTGGCAGTTGGCTCAAGCAAGGAATGACAGAGCCTAGAAGAACAATGTCCATCCATGAAGAAAGGGAACAATGCAAAAGAAACAGCACCAACCTGAGACAGGGCCTTCTTGATTTTGCAACTGGTGCCTCCGATGAAGACCATGTTGGGCATGGCCGGCCTGGGGTACTCAAACACAAAGTCATACCTTAGCAGCCAGACAGAGGCCTTCTGATACAAGGTGGGTAGGCGCACATCTCTCTGCAGGACATCTGAGGCAAGGTCTTCATATTTTGAATACAGAAAATAAAGTAACAAGGGCTCCAACCCGTGCATAAGGAAGTTGGCCACTCGTTGAGGAAAAGTCATCTGGTCTGAAAACATTGTGTAGTACCTGGGGATGTAGGACACAGGGCTTGGGGTTCTGCTGAACCTGAGCTCCAGGGAGCACGGGAAGCCCCTGAAGAGGTACACAGAGGGCAGGCCCAGGTACTCTGCCAGGATCACGCCACAGGGTAATCCTGGGTCTGTGAGAAGAACGTCGAACTTGCTCTCCTTGAGGAAATTCATGGTGTCCTGGTTCTTCAGGAGGCTCTGGCAGTTGGTGAACCACATGTCGATGACAATCATGCTATTCCTATACTCAAACACAGGAGAGGCCAGAAAGGACCTCTCAGCAAACAGATTGTTCCCAAAGGAATGGAAACGGTTCTTCAGGTCCTCTTGGTTGTAGGGCACTGGGTAAACTTTTCTTGAGTAGTACTTGGATTCTTTCAATAGCAAATTGATTTCTGGTGCTAGCACCACAATGTCATGGCCTCTGGTGCTGAGACGCTCAATTACATCCTTGACACTAAGCCAGTGGCTTCCGTCCAGAGGTACCACCAGCAGCTTGTCACCTGCCACCACTCCCCAAAAGGCTAAGAAGAAAACCCCCACAGAAACCCTCGGAAATGCAGGAAGAAGGTGAAGGCAGCCCATCCTGAAAAGAGTTAAGGTGAAGACAATGGTAAATCGTTTACGTGCCTAAACCAGTCAGTCCTCTTCACAGACCACTCCCTTGCTCTGAATTTGGCCTTCCTCTCCCTTGCTCTGAATCTTGCCCTCTGATATGAAAACAAACAAACAAAAAAAAACCTAAATTAATATTTAACCAGTTCTAAGCACACTGCTACTATAGACAAATTACTCTTCTTATCAGCTTTATCCCGAGCTTCTAAAGTTTTCCCTCATCTCCACCAATCTGCCTCTCCCACTGTAAAGAGTCATAGCAATACTCTGAGGACAACTCGGAGAGACCCCTACCCCACCAACCCTCTATTCTAAATTCTCTGGATTCCTCATTATTGCTGATGTCCACGATATGTGGAGATTTCCTTCCACACTGACCAATTCTCCAGCACCACATGGCTGTCCTACAAATCAATTCAATTCTGACAGTAACACAGGGTCAGTGTCTGGTCTCACAAAGGATTGTCCCTACTTCACACACCAACCACAGGTAGTAGGTCCCTAGGCCTGACTTGGCTATAAATCAAAGGTTCCCACACCTCCCTTCTTGGGTTTGACCATTTACTAGAATGTCTCATAGAATGATAGAAAACCATTTATTTTCTAGGTTGCTGGTTTTTCACAAAGGCTATTACAAAGGATACAGATGAACAACCAGATGAAGAAAAACCAATGGTAAGATAGGGAGAAAAGACAATGGAGCTTCTGTTCCCTTTCCTGGCACAACTCTCTCCATGCCTTCAGCAGTCTGGAAGCTCTCTAAATCCCAAAGAAGGAAAATGAAATTCTCAGGACTACCCCCTAACTCCCTATGCAAAAAGGAAGGTAAGGCTGGGGGTCCAGCCATGCAAGACTCCCTTCTGAATAGATAGCTCTTCCTAACATTATGCTTCAGCCAGGTTTCACACAAGGCTAAAGCCCTCAGGCACCTGCAGAGAACTGCGTGCACAGATCATCGCCAAGGAAAGGCCTCACTGGCCTCCTGTCAACAAGGGCATGGCCACGATAGCTTTAGGTCTGCAGTCTTGTTCTCGTTCCTAAAACTAAAGTCTTTTCAACTCCACACTGATAATGTTGATTACCTTCCCAGGCTCAGAACAGAGACAAGATAGGGTCGATCGCTCTTCCACCTACCTGGGGACATCTGCGTCATTGATTCTTCCTTGGCTCCCTCTTCCTCTTTGAACACTTGCCATATCTTATATAAAATGCAGAATTCCTGGGCCTCACAAGAATGTTGCCATTTGCCTCACCATCTGCCCCCTTATCCCTCCTCCCTTTTTCTTTCTCTATGCCTCTCCCCTTAAATACTGAGTTCCCAAATTAAAAAAAAAAAAATACAAAAAAATTACAAATGCGTCTGGAGCTGGTATTTTCTGGGGACGCATCCTCAAACTTTGGCTTTATAAACCTCCATTGATTGAGATGGTGCCTCAGTCACTTAGCTGGGATTGTTACCTGTGCTTTTGGGTTTCCTATATACTTTGTCACTTAGTAGCCATGATTAACTAAATCACTTTGTTAGTGATCAACTCAACCTTCAGCCCCTCTGCCCTCCCCTCCCTCCACAAGGTTGGTTCTCCTGGCAGCAGCCAGTCCCCATCCATAGGCACTTTTCACGAATTTGGGTATAATTAAAGAAGACTCGTTCTGCATAACAAAAGATGCTCTATTCACCTTTATTGCTCCCCTCACTTTGGAAATTGCAAAGGTTTTAGGTGTTCTGGCCAGGAAATGGGAACCAGGACTGACATATATGTTTCTTATTGTATATTACAATATCATAACATGTAATCTCATACTTTACTTCAGGAAATTATGATTTCAGAAATACAAGTCCAGCCAGCAGGTGGTAAAAGCCCCAGAATAGATAGAAGTCAGCTAAGCCTGGCCTTCAGAACCAGCCACCACCAGCCACCATCAACCTGGGGGTGGCCCATCAACCTAACTTCAGATTTCTCAAGTGAGAATGGGGAGGGAGGTCCCAGAGGATGACAGTAGTGGAGACCAGGCTGTTCTGGTGAGAGGTGGTTCCTAGAATTACTAGAACAGCCTCGCCCAGAGCTAGTCACGCACACCAGGGCTGGCACGCGAGGCCCTGTCCTAACCCATATCTTTGGCACTGGAGGCATGCTGGGACCTGGGAAAGGAGAAACAGCCTGAGAAATGGAATTGAAGGGGCCATTCCAACCCCAAGCAGGGCTGGTCTCGGGAACACTGCCAGGATGCACATTTATTGTTCAAGACTTGCCTCAGCACAAGCTGAGCAGCCTCCCAGGACTCCTTCCCAGGAGGGTTGCCAGCAGGATTTCCTAATTACAATGATCAAAGTGAGGAAGGTGGCAACACCCTGCCTTGAGTCTATTTAGACACCAATAAGATCCCGGGAAGGTTACAAAGGGGGCACAGTGCAGGTCCGCCTTTCTGGGGCAGGCACATGCCAGGCAGAGGTCCTTCCAAAAACAGTCCAGCTGGAAGGAGAATGGCTCCCCCAGCATGCAGAAGCAGAGGGAGTAAGAGGAGCTCGGACCTCTGTTGCTTGGTACTACACCTCTACCCTTCCGAGGACCTTGGTCTGAGCCCTTCTCAGCAGGACCTTGCTCTGAAAAGTACATGGCTCATTACTGGGTCCTATTCTTATGCCCAGCAGACCCAAAAGGACACAGGTTGTAGGCCGGAGATGAAAAACAGGAACTGAAACCTCTATATATACCATCACCTTGTAAACTAAAAGAGGGTTAGAAAATATTTCTTCTTTTTCAGTGTGAGGTTTGACCATACTAAGACTGAAGTGTGTGTGTGTGTGCATGTACACATGCACATGTGCTTTCCTAGACTCTAGAAGAAATCTGGCATGTTGGTTAATAACAATGACTAATTTCTAAAGAATTGCTGCCCTTGGGTGGCACCTATGGTTCAGTGGGTAGGGTGCCGAGGGTGGTGGGTTCAAACTCGGCCTCAGTCAAACTGCAACAACAACAACAAAATAAGTAGGCATTGTGGTGGGCAGCTGTAGTCCCAGCTACTCGGGAGGCTGAGGCAGGAGAATCACCTAAGCCCAGGAGTTGGAGGTTGCTCTGAGCTGTATGATGCCACGGCACTCTACTGAAAAAAAAAAGAATGCTGTCCTGGTAGCCTAGGCCTGGGTGGTGCCATGGGACTTAAGGTGTCCTTGAGCATTGCCATTTACCTGAGTACCCAGGCAAAGGCTAACTTTGTCTCCGGGATTATCACAGAATGAATGACTCAGGCTTGGGACACACCACAGTGCCTTTCCTACAAAGAAAACAGTCTCTGTGGACAAGGAGCAGATTTCCCAGAAAGTGAATGAAGGGAACTTGGCACTTTGAGAGGGAGGTCTAAAAGTGTGCATGGCAGGTGACTTCATGTTAGGGCAGGAGGTGTTGGGAAAGGCTGACCCTATGTTGGTTAACTTCTTAGGTGCTCCCTCTCCCAGATCCTTAACACTACCCACAACCCAGGAGCAATGGAGCCAGAACCAGCCTACAAGATTCCAAAAACCTACAAAATGTTCAAGACTTGAGAAAAGAAATTTGCTGAATCCAGAATATTAAAATGTGTAAATATTTTTTAAATGGCTAGAAATGTCTAACGACATGTCAATGAATCCATAACAGTCCAACACATTGAGGGAGACTGTATACAGGATGTGGGATACTGGAGTAATTTAGGCCGAGGGACAGCTATAGAAGTCAGAGTGCTCTGGGCCCAGATCCAGAATGGTCAAGTCTGAATCACCCACAGGGGGACAGCACAGTGCAGGGAAGTATGGCTTGCCCAGCCGGACATCTTGAGCAGGCTGTGACTTCCCAGAGTGCTTGTAACAATGTTGGTGGTGGTCCTAGGAGCTCAGGAGCAGTCAGGAGGGGCACAGGCCACTAAATAACATGACAAAAAGACCACTCAGTAAAGACATAAACTAGGACTTCACTATGGCAAAGAGACTCTGGCACACAGGGATGATGGGGAAGAATTTGCTGCTGTTCCAAACTTGAAAGAACTCCTGGCACCTGGCTTCATGCTGCACCTGTCTTCTCTGCTTGGCACACTATTCCCCCAACTTTTCCCAGGATTGTCCCTCATGGGAGACATGACCAGGCATCTCTGCACCCTTTACTTTTCTTTCAAAGTAGCCTCACAGTTTGCAACCGACCATCTTCTCCCCTATTAGACAGGCAAAGCCACCATGTGCATTTGATTCTGGCTATTTTCCCAGCACCTGACCAGGCATACACAGGATCTTGATAGACTGTTGAATGAAGAGTCTTTAATATCAATAACAGGACATAGCTAGCCATGTGTTCCTCTGTAACACCCCTAAACCCAACAAACCAACTAATGTCTGAAGACGTTTCCCATCTACACAGGGAGGCAGTCATGTGTACAGGCTAGGCACATAGGTTCTAAAATAAAAATATCAGGGTTCATTACACACAAGTGTTTGTAGCAGCATTATTTTTTATGGCTGAAACTTGGGAACAACCCAAATGTCCATCAGCTAATTAGTGGATAAATGACAGCAGTGTGGCATACAATGGAATACTATTCAGGCACAAAAAGGAACTGAAATATTGATTCATGCCACAACGTGGAGCAACCATGGAACTTAGTGAAAGACCAGCCAAAAAGGAACACATGCTGTGATGCCATTTCTGTGAAATGCCCAGATTAAGTAAATCCTTAGAGACAAAAAGTAGATTCATGCTCAGGGTGGGGAGAATGGTGGGAAAGGGAGAGTAACTGCCAATGGGGATGGGGTTTCTCTCTAGGGTAAGGAAAATTATCTGGAATGAGATAGTGGTGATGATTGTTCATTTCCTTGAATATAAAAAAGCCATTGAACTGTATGTTTTATTTTATTATTTATTTATTTGAGACAGTATCACTGTTTCGCCCTTGGCAAAGTGCTGTGTCATCACAGCTCACAGCAACCTCAAACTCTTGTTGTAGTTGTCATTGTTGTTTAGTAGGCCTGGGCTGGATTCAAACCCACCAGCCCCTGTGTACGTGACTGGCACCCTACCCACTGAGCTATGGAAGTGGAGCTGAACTGTACATTTTAAACAGTAAATTTCATAGTATGGGAATTACATCTCAATTTTTATAAAAGAATGCCTGGGTTTGAATCTTGGCTTGCTCACTCATTAGAGCTAGGACCTTGGACAAGTCATTCAACCTCTATACATCAGTTTCATCATTTGCAAGGTAGGCTTACTCATAATGCTGTCTTCTGCTTAAGCCCTCGGGGTAGCACCTGGCACATGGCACGCATCCAACCCCTGTTAGCTTTCATTAAATTTAATGTGTGAATTCTCAGGGGACTGTCCACCCAGCTGAGGACTAAATAACTCATGGGAGGCTTGCAGCAAGAACAGGATATTGACATCTGGTCATGTTATTTTGAAGACCAGCTGAACATGTGGTTAATTTTTCTAGTATTATGGAAATATGGAAATGACTGTGCTAGAAAATGCATATCACTGACCCAGTTATGGCTAGTGTTGATTCAAGGCCACATACCAGGCATCCACATGCACCATCATATTTCATTATACATTACTATATTTAAACAGCTCTGTGGAGTGGTATGTTTTATCCCCATCTCACCACTAAATAACATGACAAAAAGACCACTCAGAAAAGACATAAACTTGGACTTCACTATGGTAAAGAGACTCTGGTAGCATTATTTTCATTTCTTTTTTGTGCCTAAATAGTATTCCAATGTATGATACACTGCTGTCATTTATCCACTAATTAGCTGATGGACATTTGGGTTGTTTCCAAGTTTCAGCCATGAAAAAATAATGCTGCTCTTAGTCTCTTTACCATGAAAAAATAATGCTGCTGTTTAGAAATCCAGGCTCTTACACAAGGTTATGTAAGTGTCACAGTTGGGTATGTATGAAGTCAGGTTGGTTTGGCTCCAGAAGCCACATGCTCAAACACTGTGTGAAATCACTGCCTAAGGTACCCTAGTGTCAAAACTATGACCCGGGGTACCAGCTCCTGACTCAATTAATTACTGACACTTTGTCTGCCTGAGACAGGCAGTGGAATGGCCTTTCTCCTTGACCCCTCTGGGGCAGGAATTATGCTAAGGAAATGACACAAAGGAAAAACAAAGGCTGGGAAGCAGCTAGAAAAGAGGAACTGAATAGGGAGGGGAAAGTAGCACAGGAGCTGGAAAGAAGAGAGCTGGAGCGGTGCATGCAATAAGGCCCATGATGCTGGGGAAGACAGGATCATGGGGGACCTTGATAGCAGGGGTCAGGGCAGTGACAGAACAGAGTACCCTCTGCATATCTAGAGTGGGCCAAAGACGTGATGTGTGAAATTGTACATGTTCTCAGGGTAGGCTGAAGAGCAGAGGAGTGGGGAAAGGGAAACAGCAGTATCCACACGCGACTTGCAACATGAGGGAGGGGAGGTAAGAGGCAAGAAAGGTAAGTGCCAAGGCAGATGGAGGCTCCAGCTGGGCTCACCTGTTCAGGAAAGTCCACAGGTTCTTGAGGGAGTCCCTACATTAAGCATGTGCACGTGAATTTGAACATCACAGTGAAGGGGACCATGTGGATTGTCCCTCACTCTCTTCAGTGTCTTTTCATTGTCCTTTCATGCAAAAACATTTTTCATTTTGAGGAAGTCAAATTTATCTATATTTTTCTTTTGTTTTTTGTGCTTTCAGTGGCACATCCAAGAAACCACTGCCATATCCAAAGTCAGAAAGATCTACCTCAATATTTTCTTCTAAGAGTTTTACAGTTTTAGGTCTTCTATTTAGGTCTTTGGTCCAGTTTAAGTTAACTTTCATGTACGGTATGAACTAAGGGTCCAACCTCTTTCTTTTGCACGTGGTTGTCCCAGCACCTCATGTAGACAGGATTATTCTTTTCCATTGGAATGGTCTTGTAACCCTAGTCAAAAATTCAATTGCCTAAGGATATATTAGTGTATTTCTGGGTCCTTAGCTCTAATTATAAACTGTAAATCAGGTGATATTAAAAAATTACTGATTGTGTTAGATATGACAATGATACAATAACATGGATAACATGGCTATGTAGCAACCCATCCTTATTTTTAATATTTAGTGAAACAATTAGGCATGGAATGACATGTCAAGAATTAGTTAAAAATACAACAGCCAAAAATTTTCTTAGAAAGAAAAGAAAATAAGGGGTGGATGAACAGTACAACTAAATATTGAAAGGTATTCAACCTAAGGGTGGATCACAGGTGCTCATCACACAATAGTCTCTCCTGCATGTAACTTTGAAAACATTTATAATGAAAAGCTGAAATAATCTTGATAGCAGGACTCAGGCTAACCCAGTGACTACTAGCTTTTAATTGACCTGAGACAGGCCAGGGAAGCACACATCAATTATTGTTGTGTGACCACATCCCTCCCCCAGTTCTCCAGAGCAATAGCTGCCCCAAATTGTATAGCCTAAAGCTGAAATCCTTGCAGCTGACCTGGTCATCAATTCAGCTGGAACTCAACTAATACTGAAAAAGAATGGGACTGATTGTTTTTTGCACTGAAATGATTTTAATTTCATCGGAATCATAATCTGTCATCCTATTTACAGAATTTAATTATATCCCTGGATTAACTCACTGAAATTTTGAGACACTCTCAGGAAAATCCCCTAAGTAGGGCCTAAGGCACCTCACACAAACGCTCATGCACACACACAAAAGCACACATTCACATACACAGGCATACAGCACACACTCTGTCATGAGCAGTGTTTTCTTATCACACAAATGAGGCTAAAACTATAACTCTTGTTCTCCAGAAAGATACAACAAGCCGTATGGTTTTCCAAGGCATAGACCACCTGTCTGAAGCAAAGAAGGAGTACTACACAGTGTCCATGGGTATTTCCACGGAATTTCCTTTGTACTTGTGCTGTATCCCAGGCTCTTTCTCAGAGAGCCCTCTTGGAAATATAAATTCCTCTTTGAGAATTCAGCTTGTTTTATACTTGTCTATACATACACTAATATGTAACCTTCCACAGATATAAAACATTTTCTACATATAGATCACTTAAAAGATACATAAAAATATTTCTTATATCATTAACGTTGATATAACTTTTCTTATATCATTAACCAAAAACATAAAACTATATTGTGTTCAATATATTTCATGTTTTATAGATGTGTCCATATCATAGGTTATATAAAATCATATACAGCTTCCTATATCTCTAAACCCCTCTGGTGACCCAGGAAGTTTCAGGGCCCCACCTTTGGTTAGAGAGGTCAGGGTTCAGCCAAACCCTGGGTGGCTCTTGGCACTGTAGTAGATGGAGAGTAAGGGAAGAGGAGCCCGTTGGCAGGCTCAGCCTCTGAACTTCTGCTAACTTGCCCCCCCTCACCTGTTCTTGCTAAGGGTAGAAAGTCACCCCTGACTTTAAAAGACATATAAATTGAAATGGTAGACATTTTTGAAATTTTACTTTTCTGACTTTTTAGAAAGGGCATTATTGGGCCAGGTGTGATGGCTCACACCTGGAATCCTAGAACTCTGGGAGGGTGAGGCAGGTGGATTGCCTGACCTTCACAGGTTCAAGATCAACCTGAGCAAGAGCAAGACCCCATCTGTAAAAATAGCTGGGCATTGTGGTGGGTTCCTGTAGGCCCAACTGCTTGGGAGGCTGAGATAAGAGAGTCACTTCTGCCAAAGACTTTGAGATTACTGTGACCTGTGATGTTACGGCACTCTACCAAGAGCTACAAAGTAAGACTCTGTCTCAAAAAAAAAAAAAAAAAAGAAAAGAAAGAAAGAGCATTATTTCACTTCTCCTAGAGTTGGCTGATAAGTCACTGTTTCACTAAACATCTGCGGAGACATCTGTGCAAGAACATGACTGTCATTACACACAGTCTGCTGAACCTTGGAAGAAGACAGAACAACAGGTAGAAATGCATAGTCCATTCCTAACAGATGATACACTGAGATGAGATACCAGGTGGTTCACCTCGATATAGCAACTATACATTTGCCAAGAATCTTACACCTGCATCTGTCAAGGCTTTTTCAAGAGCAAGTGACAGACTCCTGACTTCAACTGGCGAGACCAACAATATGACTCAATATTGTTTGGGGAGTATACACTATAACAGAGCACAGTAAGGGTATGAATGTCATTGGAGGGAATTATTTACAGATGACATTGCATACCTAATAAATCAGACACACTATTAACAGGAATTAATAGATGCAAGATAAATCAAAAACCAAAGCTATACTTTAATTGCCCAATAATTAAAATAGAAAATAGAAATGGAATAACTGCTCCGTGCTTGACAGTTTCAAATAAAATAAACTGCCCAAGCATAAAGTTTAATAAAAGAATCTTATATAAAGTGAACATTTAAAACAAGTATGATGAAATAGTGAGAAATATATCTTCCAGAACAAGAAGACTTAACAGCAAAAAGATGATAGCTTTTCTCAATGAAGGAAAAACGAGCAAACTGATGTAAAAGACTCTCCCAAGATAAAAGCAAGATGACAATACATGAATGTGAAGACAGTATTTAAGAATGTTTTTGGTTCTTCTTCACAGAACCAAAAAGTGGGAAAAGCCTAAATCCTTCTCAATACTGAATGACTGACAAAACTATTACTACGTTGCATTCACAATAATGATTTCTCTGCATTTTCAAAAGAAAGTGTCAACTCTGTACAGACTGGCCTATAAAGAAGTCTGTGATTTATTGGCACATAAGAAATACAAGGTGAAACATGACATATTAGAGCCTGACACTTAGTTTTAGTCTAATAAAATAAATATAAGAATTTACACAGCATTATGGTTTTATAGCAAATGATTTCAAAACATTTTAAAAGGTGCTAAGAGCTAAAGCAGCTACAAAACTACTAAGAGCATTTTCCTGAAGGGGGTATTACAAGATCACTAACAAAACACAAAGGTTCATTTCATTTTTGTTTGAAAAACAGTATTGAATAATACACCTGCAATTTATGTACAGTTATATATATAGGTCAAGAAGGGCACCATTATAAAATTTGGTAAACAACAAATAATTGAATTGAAAACATAAATCACTAAACTAGAAGGAAAATCCAAATTCAACAAATAGAAATGACAAATCACAGCTAAGTAAGGAATCTTTTTTTCTTTTAGCTTCAAGTCCAAAGCCAGGTAAGCCTATTCTGCTAAAGGAGAGACAACTCACCTCAGGCAGTGGCTTTCCCTGGTGGCAGTTGATGCCCCCGATGAAGATCATGTTGGGCATCAGGGGTCTGGGAGATTCCAAAACAAAGTCAGTTCGCAGCAACCAGACTGATGTGTGGCTGTACAGATCATATGCTGTAACAGGTGTCTGCAGGATTTCAGAGGCAATTTCTAAGGCCGTTTGTATAAAAATGGGGCAAAATAAATGGTCCCCCAAGTAGAAGATGTGGTTCCATACTCTCTCCTCAAAAGTCATAGTGTCCGAAAACCCTGAGAGACCTCTGGGGACGTAAGAAAGAGAAGCAGGGACCTGCGCACCTTCTTCAAGATAATGGCAAAATATCCCCCTGCTGAAGACCACAGAGGGCAGTGAAAAGTACTTGGCAACTATTAAGCCACACATATCAAAAGGGTCCAGAAACACAGCATCAAAAGAGCTTTCTCTTAAGTATTCTACTAATTTTCGGTCATTAAACAAACTTCTACAGTGTGAAAAAATTAGCTCAAAAAAACCAGTGGTTGAGCTTCTTAAT